CTAGGGTTTGGCAAAGTGCTTGGACGCACATGGACCTCGAAAAACTTTGCTTCTTGAAGAGCCGTTTGACTCTAAGGGACTGAAAGGCAGGGTTTGCTCTGCAAGGACTCGTGCCAAGTTCAGCAGCTCCGAGAGCAGTATGTCGTGTGTGCCAGGACCCGTATTTTGCTGCACTGTCGGAGGGTTGGCAGGGCAAATCTCCTCTGTCCAGCACTGGATCCCAGGATGTAGAAATCTTCTGCGGTGGTTCAATGAGAGTGTGGAGCTGGGCTGTGGGGGCCTCATGAGAGGAAGAATAATCTGTATCAGGCTAGTCAGTGCGTCCCTTCACCGTGGAAATCCTGGGATCTCTCTCCGTTGCTCCTTTGCTGCCCTCAGAGGCTGCTCTTTCTGAGCAGCACAGACACCAGTGCTGTTGCTTGCCTGTAAGGCAACAAGAATGCCTTAAATTTTGTGTGCAGCCCTGAATTATCCCAAAGTAAACTGAACCCAACAGATCAAAACATGTGATAGTTTTCTGCTGGACACTACAAGCTCTGAGAGGCTGTAGTATGTGTGTTTGTTGTGAAACGGGCCCCTCTGGTGATGATTATTTTTGTTACAGGCAGAGTTGGCTTTAGTTTCTGTGTTGAAGGTCCAACAATAACAGTGAGCCCTGCTCTCCTGGGGTGAGGGAAATCCAGAGGGGTTTAATCGGCAGGAAATTCAAGTAGGAGAACGCTCTGCTCCCAGCCTAAGGTTTCAGTGTGCGCTGATGAGCTGCAAAGCTGAAAAACCCCAAGTGTGGGTGGAGGTTCCTAGGGCCTGGCTGGGTTTTTCTGGGTCCCCTGAGTGGTGATTGCTCGTTGCAGCCTGGATGTCTCCAGCAGGTCAGGGCAGGGAAAGAAGGGACTGCCCCTCACAAAGGGTGAGGAGCTCAGCTGCTGATACCCACCTCTGTGGGAAGCTTTGGAGCTGCCCGCTGTATGCTGTGGCGTTGGCAGGAGTCTGCCCTCGTGAGCTTCTCCAGGTCTTCCTTTCCCATCCCTATGGCTGGCTGGTCGTCCTCTGGTGTAGTTCCCCTGTTGGGATGGTGCTGCAAGGAGAGGGTTGCTGGGATGATGTAAGTCATGTGGTGGGCCTTAACAAAGGAGGGGGTCTGGGAATTTCTCATCCTGAACACATCCTGCTCCGACACTGCTGGGAAGTGCCAACCTCCATAGCCTCCACTGAGGAGCCCGGCTGCTCTCACGTGGCCTCACCGCCGGCACAGCGCTCCCCCAGCCCCTCCACCGTGCAGGCTGGCAGGGGCCCCAGCAGTTTGCTTTCAATGCCTGCATTTTGCTTACTGAGCAACGGGATGTCCCACGTACCTGGCAGACTTGGCTTAATACTTCAGAATTTAATTTTAATTTTATTAAGAGAATTCAGGTCTGGCAAAAGCTGCCAGAGCCCATTAGCTGTGGAGCACATCTTGCTTCCAAAGCATACAGCCTGGGTAGCACACAGCCATGCCACTCACCCCTTTTTTCTTTTTTAAAAATATTTTTTTTAATTTTTGCATGGATTCAATGCATCGGTTTGAAAGGACACATTTATGTAGAAGCTTGACCCTCTACTGTGTACAAAACAGGCCTGATTTTATACAGAGAGCCAGTGGTTGGCGTGTCTGCTGAGAGAAAGCCTTTGGCCGCCAGTGGGCACAGAGATAGATTCTGGGGGGAGGAGGGATTGCATGTGTTTTATCTGCTAGATACCAGTGAATCAAAAGAGAAAAAGCCCAACAGAACAATTACAAAGATATTTAAGTCATTTTGCCTCTTCAGATAACTCTAGGAAGCCCTTTTTTCCCTGGTACACTATTGCCCACGACATGGCCTGGTGCTGCGTGTAGACAACGCAGCGCTCTACTGAAGTAGTCCTCTTCATTTCTTTGGACGTTCTTGGGGGAGGAATGAATGAGAGGACAAAATCTGTTCCTCTGAGAGACACAGATAAGTTTTCCTGCAGGTGGAAGGCTTTCCCTGCTGCGGAAGGATGGTGAAATTTTCTTGGTGGTATCTGAACACCTGAGGGATGCGGCTGCTGCTCCCGCCCCCTCAGTGGTTTCGCCTGCTCTCCTGTTTTGCTGCAGAGACCACAGTCACAGAGAGCCGGGCTCCAGCTCCTCTCACTCAGGCTGTCCTCACCGGCACCAGCAGTTTAACTTGGGCACCAAGCTGACCTGGAATCAGGATCAAGCCCAGGGATTTCCTTAGCTTGGTCCTGCTGAGCTGCGATGGCCTCGCAGGGCAAGGGAGAGGTTTTGAGACCAGGGTAAACTTGGATTTCTATTCCCGAGTTCATTTGTGAGAGCCAGAGGTGAGAGCCAGAGGTAAGAGCCAGAGCAAGCTGGAGCTCGACACCCCTGTTCACATTGCAGTTCCCCTCCAACTGGTTGAGTTGCAACGGCTCACAAGTATTCACAGTATCCAGCGCGAGTAAGGGGCTAGCAACTTCTGAGTGGTGGGTGATGTTGGTGGTATCAGCCTAGCGGGTAGCATGTGTGTGAAAGCTGGGGAGGCTGGGAGGGGATGACGAGGTGTGGAAGGATTGACTGTATTTTCATTGCTTCGAGACTTTGCCCTTTCCAAGAAAAATAATCTGCAGCTTGAATATTTCTCTTTGCTGGAGGGGGTGGACATGTGTGCAAACGAGGTGTGAATTTTTATGAGAAGGTGTGAAAGTGCGTACATGAGTGAAGTGTGAATTACACGTCTATTTGTACGTTGATGTCAACAAGTCCATGAATTTCTTCCTTCCATGTGAATGTCTCTGTTTCTCTCTCCCCCAAACCCACATAGACATGTGTGTGGGCAAATATGCCTTGCTGAGAGAAAAGATTGGTGCAAGAACGTAGGTTTGTAAATGTTTGCGTGTTGAGCAAGCTCTCCTGTGCAACAAAACCAGATGTTTTCTGGTATTCTCAGCTCTTACGCAATATTTCCCCTCATATTTTTCAGGTTAGTTACAGGATTATTTTAAGAAAAAAGGGAAGGCTGCAGAGATGCCTTTGGGTGTGTGAGAAGAAAGTTATTTTGAAGAATGAATGTGTTAGAGGGCATGAAAAATATGGGGGAAACTGAGATAGTGCTTTTTCGTGGAGAAGGAAGCCTCACTCCTCCACGAAGGGCCCTCCTGCTGCCCTTGTTCTGGCACGGGGCATGTGCGTTTTCTGCAGGCAGCGTGCAGGCAGCAGGTTGTTTATTCCAAGTGCTTTTTTCAGGAAGCATTGCTGCCAAGGGGTCCTGCCTTGCTCCCGCTCCTCGCGTTGGCTCCGGCGAGAGGGCAACGTCAAAGTAGGCTGGGACATCCCCGCAGAGAGCGGGTGGGCTGGCGACAGCCTGGCAGGGGACAGCCCTGGGGCCTGCCGGACCCCGTGGTGCAGGGACGGAGCCAGACCCGTGTGGGGTTGAGCCCACACGAGTCTGCACTGCTTTCCTTCTCCCGGGTGGTCCCAGGGCTTTGCAGCGAGTGCTGCTGTGGGACAGACAGGGACAGCCCTCCAGGCCAGGGCAGTGGGGAGCACCGTGGAGACCCTCGGAGCCGATGGGGTGTGGGACGTGTGGTTACTCCCCCATGCTGAGGACGATGCTCCTCCTGTGCCTTGGCTCCCTTGGGGACATGGGATGTGCATCGGGCCCCATTGCAGGGTGTGCACATCTGGGCCCCGGGAAAGCCCACCCGTACCCTCCTGCAGGACCGGAGCCCTCCGGGAGGACTGAGGGGAGGCTGTGGGGACAGCCCCGCGGTGGGGACGACCCACAAGGGTTCGCGTCCCATGTTTTACCCCCTTGCTTATTGTCCGGGAAGAGAAAGCCCTTCTGCAATGCAGGATCGGGGTCACCCTGTATTTCTGTCAGCCTGCCCTGTGGCGGGGCTCAGGGTTTTGCTGGGTTTTGCCCATTTTGCTTCTTTTTGCCCATTTTGCTGGGTGTGAGGAGGCAGTGCTGTCTTC